TTTTTCTAGAAAGCGAGTAGAATTTTTCTTTAAAGAAATTAATTTTGAAAACATCCCCAAGTTTGGTCTTTCACGACTGCATGGTGTGTGGCATGACACATGTGTGGTTTCACGAGTATTTCTGATGGTGGTGGGGGCGGAAAGCCAGATTTTCCCAGAGAGGTTTTCACCTCAGCCTTGGGAGTTCAATTTTAAATTTAACTTGATTCATTTAAGGTTTGAGTTTATTTCTGGCTTGTTGGCAAAATGTGGGCTTCCTGACTTAGAAAGATTCCCTCAAAACAAACTTGAAAAAAAAGAGTCTCACCTAAGATGGCAATGTGAAATGCTCTATAATATTTTAACAAGCTCATTGTAAGTGAATTAGAAACATTCAAGTGAATTTACTTTAAAATAGATATGTGTTGTTCTACCCGACTGTGGAGCACATCCAGTGAGAATTCTCCAGCACAGAACTTCACAAACCACTTTTAACACATTCAATCAACTGCTGCAACTTCTCCATACATGGCACATATCATTTTTTGTGTTTCAGTTGCATTTTTACCTTTCTTGAAATAATAAAGTGTAATATGCAAAAATGTTGCTTATTTTATTCTATCTTCAATGTTAAAATTCACCAATTTGTTAACTTCCTTTTTAAATGCATGCTGATGTGACAGCTGTCACATTACAATCTAACACAGTTGTTTCTAACGACGTTCAACACAACAAAGCGCTACTAGAGCCATCTTACTCTTTGGCCAACCCAATACGATGGAATATTATCAGCCATAAAAAAGAACAAAATCCTGTCATTTGCGACACCTTGGATGAACCTCGAGGATATGAAGTTATGTGGGATAAGGCAGAGAACGACTGACACCACATGATCTCACTCACATATGAAATCTAGAACACATCGCTCACAGTGACGGAGAACAGATCTGGTGGTTACCAGGGGTCGGGGGTGGAGGTTGTAAAAAGGTTCAAACTTCCAGTTAATACGGTAAATAAGTCCTGGGGATATAATGCGCAACATGGTGACTACATTTACCAGTACTGTATTGTGTGCTTGAAAATTGCTGGGAGAGTAAGTATTAAAAGTTCTCACCACAAGAAAAAAATTCTACTGTGTGAGGTGGTGGATGCTGACTAAATTTACTGTGGTGCCACCTTGCTAGAGATACAAATAGCAAATCATTATATTGTATACCGTAAACTTCTATAATATTATATATCAATTATATCTCTAGAAAACTGGAAATTAAATAAATAAAATAGATCTGGGTGTTAAAATGAAGGAATAGCTGGCCATTTGAATTGTCCTGATCCCAACCAAAGGCAGGTTGGCCCTAAGAGATGTGCAGTGGCTCCGAGCAAATGAAATGTCAAAACAAAAGCATTAACGTCCAGTATGGAAGGAAAACCCCTGAATGTTTAGACAGACCAAAAAAGCAGTATGGGGAAACCCCCTTTTTCTGAAACAAACAAACAAACAAACATGCCACTGAATAGCAGAATCCTTATTTGAAGCAGTTCATATATCCAGCTCACAGGGTATACAGGTATATTGAGGTCAATGCATCACTTGTAACAGCCAAATTTTGAAAACCTGTGCACAGATGGAAGTTCTGGTCTTAACACAACATCCAAAGTGCTTCAGATCACGTTAACTTTATTAGTCCTAAGGCAAGTCAGCTTCATGGGGGTCGATGCTATCATCAAAGACAGGTCTTGGAGCAACACCACAAACCGCATGCTGACCATTCTGATACCTGACCTTTCACTAAGGGGCTCCAGGGAATATGTAAAATGATTGGTAAGCCCAACCACAGAAGGAGAATAAGGAGATGTTTTCAATAGGTTCTGTGATGCCAAAAGGAAGCAAATATGATATTCTCTGCTGTCGGTTGATGATGAAGTCAATACAACATTGAATCTGATAGCAAAATGATTCAAGTAGGTCCCAGGAAATGGAAGTTCTATCCAGCATGACATGAGTGCCTCAGGCTTCACCACAGGTAACCAACAGCTTAAAATTATTTGAAAGCTCCCCTACCAAATGGGGGATATAGAAATAATTTTCTTTTGAAAAGTGTACTGGTAAAATACAAAAATTCGAAAGCTCTCATCTGAGCAAATACCTCTACTTATAGCTTGCACTGCCGTTATGTTTAAATTTTCCAGTTTGTAAGACTCTCTTCCATGATGTGATAACCACGTTCTTAAGTATCCGTTTGTGTTTGTTTTCCCATCGGCGTTCTCAGGACCGTGACGTGGTGGTTTCTTGTGCGTGTGGGCATGCGCACACAGGCACCGTGCCCTCTGTAGTTGGCACACCTCTATTATCGAGCTATCTCTCTCTCCAGACAAGTGTATTCTTGTCCCAGAAGATTTTTTTTCACTTAAACTATGTACTTCCCTCCACAGGTCTTTAATTCATACTTTTTAAGTTTCTTGATTCTTTCATTCTCTTGGCCCCAGAGACTGACACTGACAACCTTCAGTGAGATTATTGCTGAGCCCTGGAGTTACACTCAGCTCCCAGTATCTTTGGCACCCTAGACAGATGGTGGGGAAAAGGTGGCAGTGTGGTTGTCTTTCATGGGTGCTGGGCGCATTCCAAGACAATTCTCTCACCCTCGTTTTTCTTTCTTCCTCCTTTCTCCTATGCAGCATCATTCAATTCAGTAGCACTGTACATTTAATTGCTATATTTATATTGAACATTATTTAAGATTTCAGTTTGAGCATAATCAAAACTTGGGATCAAGTAGAGAATTCTTGCTATTCAAACATCATCTCCGAAACATCTTGGGAAGAAGTGATGAATGGTGCACAGAATTACTCTTGGAAGCTGGTTCCATGTGAGGACGCCCAATCAGAAGAAGCCCTTGTAGTGCCTGCGTTTAAAGTCTTAACCCTTTAGTTGCTGGATTGTGGGGAAGTTGTTGTACCCTAGGAAAGTGGTGGTGGGGGGCAGGTGTAGTTGAAATTGAGGAGCTGAGGGCAAGGTTTTTATCACCCAGCTCAGAAGTACTTCAGTGACCATTACATTTACATCATTGATCCTCACTGAGTGCCAGCCTGCAGTGAGGTTCATTGTGCTCTGTGATACCTAGGACCTGTCTCTCTCTCAAACAGTGTGTGTTTAACATAAAGGGGAAAGGCTAACTTGCAACCAACCTGCATGAAAAATCATATTGCAGATATTTCCTAGTTTACTAGTTTATAACCTTCAACAGTTTCTCAGCCTTATCAAGCTTATCATACATTTGTTAAAACCTTATCAAGTTTATCAAACGTTCCAGGATTGAATCTGAACCTGCCACACTCCACTCTAGGTTACACTTGATCAGAGTTGTTGACTGGGAGAGAAGTTACCTGACTACACTGAGGGACTCACTCTGGCAGCTGTTACCACCTGTGGACCATTGAGGATGTTCCAGTGGCTTTTCTCTGTAGCACCAGCTGCTTCATTAGTACGAATACCTGTTGAGGTGAAGGGTCATCCTATACCCACCCCAACGTGCACACACAGAGCTCCAGCTCTTCCCTGGGATTGACCTCTGCTTCTGTTCAAGTGCAGGGATACCAGGAGCCTTCAGTTTAGTGCTTCTTAGTCTTTTTTTTTTTAATCCCATGGAGCCCATTTGGCTATGCTGCTGAAGACCACAGACCCATTTTCATAACAAGACTTTTAAATGCATAAAATAAGACATGAAAACCAATTTTATTGAAATACAGTTCAAACAATGTTAAAAATTGTACGGTAGCAATACATGTATTTTTAAATTGACAAATGACATAAGATCCAGCTGAGGTTCTAGCTAATAACTGCTGTAATTTATTTGTGACAACTGCGATGTAATGTAAAAAACCTGTGGGTTCTACTGGAGCCTAAGTCACAGATAGAGACTTTAATCCTACCATCACTGTGGGATATCCTTCATTCAGAACGAAAGAAAATGCTAAATGTCACTTAGAGATTAGTGAAAATAAAAATGTAAATTTTTTTTATCATCCAAATTCACAGCAACCTCGAATTTTCTCTCCCCTAGTTAAGAACCACTGCAGGATAACGTTGCCCCAGGGGTCAACACCTCAATGGAGGCCTCACCCCAAGTCCTGGAGGCAGGAGCCTTAGGCCACCCACACAGAGCTCAGCACAGCTTCTGGGCGGGGAAGTTCTTCCAACTAGTCCTGGGAATTTGGGGGCAGGGAAGAAGGGCCCATGAGCTTCGTGGGTACCACTTTAAACAATTTATCCTTTACTGTTGAGGGGCTTCTCTGCCTCAGAACACCTGGAAACCAAGTTTTAAATTGCTGACACCAGGTTAACTTCGCCCACAAGCTCTCTTTTTCACCTGGGCACAGATCCCTGGATGCTCTGGGCTAAGGCCTCCGTTCAGCTTTTTCATCTGCAAAAAGAAAACACCCATCTCATCGGATTGTTAGGAGGAGTAAATGAGATAATAGCGGTGAGCTGTAGGTTGTACAGCACTATCGAAGTTTGTGCTAGTATTATTTTTGAAAGCCAAGAACAATTTATACAGCTCTGTTCGCCAAGTATCTGGCGGCCTGAGTTATAAGCGCTCTATAAACACTTGTGGAATGAATGAAGTCTGCATTTGCACGTGGGCCTAGGTTTGCAAAAACACGCTACTCAAGGCAACTACGGCCGGCGGCTCACCAACACTCTCCTTTACTAACAGGTAGTAAATGCCTTTCTGGCTCTGCGCCGAACGGCAACCGCAGTTTATGTGCCTATTTCCCGGAGGACCCCCAGGATGGCACTGCTCGTCCCGGAGCTCGTTTGCTTGCCTCTCATGCCGCTGCTTCCGGACCAGTTTAGGGGCCGCGAGAGCGGCCAAGGGTGGGCCCATGAAGGCAGCGCCCCGAGGTACCGCAGCCAGGCCCGCGGGGAAGGTGCGGACTGCAGGCCGCGGCTGGCGCGCTAGGAGGGGCCAGAGGGGTGGGGAGGGGCGGGGCCGGCTTCCTCGTCACTTGATAAAACGCCTGCGAGTCTCCAGAGAACAACGGGCTCATTCAGCGGTGGAGGGCTGTTCGTGAAGGGGAGCGGCTAGGCTGAGAACTCGACTTGTCCTCTTCCCGGGGGTGGGGCCGGACGCAGTGGCGAGAGGAGACGAAGGCAGCCGCAGTAGCTGCAGCCTCGAACCCGGCCCTGAGCGCAAGCCGGCCGCCGCACCTCGCAGCTCCCTGCTCCCTTCCCGGTGCGCCGGCCCTCCCATGGCGGCCGCGGGGCAGCTGTGGCTGCTCTACCTGTCCGCGTGGCTCCTAGCCCGGCTCGGCGCCGCCTTCAACTTGGACACCCGCGAGGACAATGTGATCCGGAAAACTGGGGACCCCGGGAGCCTCTTCGGCTTCTCGCTGGCCATGCACTGGCAGCTGCAGCCCGAGGAGAAGCGGCTGTGAGTTCCCCGACTTTTCCCACCCCCACCCGGGCGCTGGCCCTCCAGTTCCCGCCGGTCGGCCCTGCCCTGCCCCTCGGCTGCTCGCTCGGGACTCCGCTGGTCCGCGCGCTCGGCCCGGGCCCCGCCCGGCGCGGCCCCTTCCCACGTTCAGACCTGGAGGGGGGCGAACCTGAGGGCCGAGCCCTGCAGACCGCCGCCTCGGTGCCAGGCGGGACTGTCGGTCTTCGGAGAGTTTACTTTTTTTTTTTTTTAACAAAGTACTTTGCGGCGGTCCTCCCTCCGGGCATGTTTGTTGGGAACCCGGCAGGTGGCACGCTTCGCTGAGCTTCACGTGTGTGTTTGGGGCGGGGGTGACGTGGGCTGTAGGGTCGCTGTATTGCTGCTGTGGGGTTACTGGGAGTGTTGCCCCAGGAAGATCCAGGCCTTTTCCAAACTCACGAAACACTCCGTCACCCCGCAGACTCGCGCGCCCCACAGAAGTTGTAGTCACTTTTCATCATGTCTTGCGTGGCTCTCACCACAGGGTGGGCGCTCCTGTGCGAGATACTTTTAACACCTCCTCCCTTGAAAAACTAAAAAGATGGAACTAAGCACCTGCTTGCAGGACTAGATCCACAGAGAAAACAAACCCCTCTGAGTGGTGTGCCCGTCCCCCGCCCCTGGCCCACGGTTCAAAGCGCCCGCCGACACCCGCGACCCTCTGGGCCCTACATTGGGCAGGCCCAGCCTAGGGGTTAAAGCGACATGTCGGATCTGGGCTGGTGCTTTGCAAGCCAGGTTTGGAAGTGACCCGCCCCCCCCCCCCCCCGCCCACCCCATAGCATAGCTGTTCCCAGGGAAAAGTGGAGACCAGCACTCTTAGCTTTTCTTTCTTAGGTGGTGTTTGGTTCCCACATAATAAAATTATTTAGGTTGAGGAGGGGTGTTGGGGAGCTTAGTTGACTTAATCGCAGTGGGGCTGTATTCTTGATCTGTCCTACGGAAAAATAAACTCACCAAAGTGCTCCCCCCGCCCCCCACCGCCCCAGGCCTTTGGTTGAATCGAGGTTCTTCCAGGACCAACAGAGCAGAGAAAGCAAAGTGCAGCCAGTCAAGAGAGGACTTTGTGTTTATGAGAGGTGAATGGGATTTTAGAGCTGGAGGAAACCCCATTGATTTCAGCAATTAAGAACTTTGGAATAGGTGAATATTGCGGGCCCCTGAATGTTAGTGTTTTTTTTTAATAACACCTGCTAGTTAAGCAAAGGAATTAGTTGGGGGTGGGGAGGCTGCTGGCGGGTGGTATGCTGGCTTGGCCAGCTGCTTGTGCTCTGCTTTGAAAAGAATTATTAATCTGTAAATCTGAAATAAAAGGTTATTTTTGTTAATGGATGACAGTTAGTGTCTCCAAATACTTAGGAGTGCGTAGATGTGCATATACTCACATGGAGAATTTGAACTTCTTAGTGCAGAAATGAGTGGGCCAGCAGAGGGAATACACTCTCGTTGGCATTCTCTCTCTGCACCAGACGCCCACTGGAGCTGATGGCTTCCTTGAAGTACTTGTTCAAGCAAACATTGTGAGGGGGAAGTACTGGGGCAAGAACATACTCTTGGGATGGAGATGTGCAAAATGTGGTTTTAGCCAGGAATCTCCATTGCCACTAAGGCTAGTGGCATGTTTGCTAAAACTTGTTACTGTTGTTGGACTTCTCTGCTATTAGAGCTTCTGCAAGTCCTCCCAAGGGTAAGAATAAGCCTGTGTTTGGGGTGTGATGCCTTCTAGAATTGCTGTCCTTGGGGGTTGACAGAGGGACCCACCAGAGGCTCAGATATGGAGAGGCCTACTCTGAGGGCACTGGATCTTTCCCTAGAGCTTAGAGGATGGCAGAAACCACACTCTAGGGGCCTGTGGTTTATGTCAAATGCCCACTCCCCACACCCCTTCTCTTGGTAAAGTATTCTAGCTTCAGGACCAGCCTTGTCCTGCTGGGATAATTAGCACACACATGGCACACAGGCCATACCTACATTTGTTGCCATATTTGTCACTCAGGATCAGGCTGTAAATAACAATCAGTGAGGTGTGGACCCCACTGGTCCAGGTTCCTAAACTCTGCACTCTCTGGACAAGCTCAGTGGGAGTCTTGCTGGTGAGAGAACTTGAGCTCAAATTCTCAGCCACTTAGTAGCTGTTGTTTTACTTTGAACTTTAGTTTCTTTTATCTGTAAAATGTAGATATTACTGTTCAATTGCATGAGGATTAAGAGATAACATGCAGAGTCACTAATTCCTGCTTGCTGATTGAATAGTAGCTGTTAATAGTGATAAACTTAGAACCAGTAATTAATTCCTACTATGTGCCAGCTACTGTACAGAGTTAAACATTCTGTGATTCTAAGAGCCCAAGAGTAAAGCCAAAAGTTATTGTAGTTTGGGTAATCGATGTTTTAAACTCTTGGTTACATTTATGAAACCCATTTTCAAAGCAGTTTACCTTGTTTTGCTGTGTAGAATGCACACTTTGTTTCCCCAAATTTTTGAGGGAAAAATAAGGATGTGCATTATAGGTGGGTAGTACATCTATATCAATTATAAATTCTTTTACTTATGCTCTTCATTAAAAATGTAACTCTAGAAAGCAATAATGATATCCATATGTTCAAAAATAAACACTAAAATTCATTTATAATACAAAAAACAAGTATCAAATATAAATAAATAATTGAATTACAAAATTAAAATGAAAGACTTTTTTCCTGAAAGTTTGGGCTAAAATCATGGGGTGCATTATACATAAGAGCACATTATACACAGCAAAATATAACTTTAATCTACCTTATTTAGATTTATGACAAAAGAAAATTTAGTGAGCAAGGGACTTTCAGTTAGAAGTAAAATTGCAGAGATATGTGGGAATATCAGAGGAATGCACTATTCTAGAAACCATCATAGGTTTTTCTGGATTAAATTTTCTACAATGCTTTAAGTATTTAATAATATTTTAAACTCTAGTTAAAATTTCATAGTAGAGTAATATTGAATCTGAGAGTCTTAAAACATTGTGTGTCCCTAAAACTTACAGGACTATAAAACTGAACTAGAGACTGTAAAACTTCACTCAGGTTTTTAGGCTGTGTATTAAAGACATTTCAGACTCCAAAAGATTCTGAGATGGATGGCTGAGTTCCTGAGGTCAGGGCCTGAACAACTTGGACACTTTCATTTCTCTTAGGTAGTTAAGGTTGAGTCACATACCGCCACTCCCACCCCCAACCCCTCCAGGTAGAAAGTATGGGGTGACATCTGTGGGATGATACCCATCCTGTGAATCATCACTGGTAGCTGTTCTGGGAAGTGATAGCTTTATGTATGACTGTAGGGCAGACTTTAGGGCAGGGAGAGCTGTAAGTAATTCTCTTCTGGATTTATCTCAGTTTGGGCAGGGGGGTTACTTTCTGATCACCAGTATCTTCTGGGCTCCCCAGGCCCACTGTGTGACACTTCTGACCCTGTGGTATTTGTTCTTGATTTTTCTCAGCATTGTGATGCTCCCACTTTAAAAATCATGTTTACTGAACTAGAGGTCATCTAGTCCAACGGGTTCTCTTTGTAGATGGAGAAGCTGAAGCTGAAAGTTAAGAAATGCCTAAAGTCTCAAGACTGCTTAAGCAAAATCTTAAGACTCTGGATTTGAATTTGATATTTCTGATTCGTGTTTATACCATCTCTAAAAGGAAAATTCAGAAATGGCCTTCAGACTTAGAGAAATTGGCCAGCATCTGAGTTTTGGAAATGCACTATGTTATATTGATATATTAAATTGCTTCCCATATAGGTCAAGGCTATCTATTTAAATATCTGTGCTTGGACTTTCTTCCTCTTGGCCCTTATTTCAACTGGCCTTGGATCAGCTTCTTCATCCCTCCTCCTTTGCCCGTCACCATGCCCCCTGCTTTGGTAAAAGTCCATTGGGCAGTGACTGCAGCCAGCCAGGGACCAGAGTTGTCTTCAGGAAGTGCACCTTAGCACTGGCTTCCTTTAATTCATTCAGAGTGCCACGTGGCCCAGGGCCCTCGAGGGACTGTGCTCAGTCACTTAGAATCCTGGGAGTGGACAAAGAGCCAAAATGGGCAGGGGCACTTGGAGATCTTAGGACTCTGCAAGGAAGCAGAAACAAACAAGTTTAATTTTTACACGAAAAATTTAAGTGATGACTTAGGGTCAAGGAAAAAGGTCAGAGTACTCACATGGTGTGAATAATTTACTGAGAAGATCAGGCTGCGTCCTCAAATAATATTCTCCATTATTGTGAAGAAGCCATTACTCTGTTTTTAGCTGCATAAATCTCTGATTTAGTATAACAGTAATACTGGTTTAAGATTTCGTAACCAAATTGTGCTGGAACTATGGCAGTATGGCACCCTCAGGACCTTGGCTCAACTTCCAAGTCAGCCCATGTTAAAAAACATCATCCTATCTCAAGAACCAGTGTAACTTTCTCTTTGAAAGTCTTTTTAGCCCAACCTACACTCAATTTCTTCTTTCTTTGAATGTCTGTGGCAATTAGTATCATGTGACTGACATTTCTAATGGTTTTCTGTTTAACTGTTATCTGCCATTTTTTTTCAGGATGATCCAATCTCTCCCAACTGATTTATAGGTTATGTGAGGGCAGGGGTCTTCTGTTCGTTTCTTTGCCTATTGGCACCTAGCATATGTCTTGCAAATACTATGGAGTCGTATCATGCACTCAATTTAACTTGTGAAATCAACTCTTCCAGCTCAGGGTAGAGAGGGAGAAAGAAATGCTTTTATTTAACCCTTTGCCCTCCCTGCTCAAAAGTAGCACTTGGTCGCTGCTGGCCTCAGGGAAAGGGAAGCTATAGCCATAATGCAAAGAGACACCTGAAATGTTAATTCTTGGCTTGTGAGTTTTCAAGGGCTCAGGTCCCAGTGAAGGGATTTTCTTGAGTGGTTGTTAGTTATACTTGACTTTTGCCTTAAAGGCAGGCTT